TAGCCTCCAAATGGTTCCAGTGTTCAATGGCCACATCTCTGTGACATACACTAACTATAGACCCACCATGGCGATGTGTACGAATATCACTAGATTGTGCGAATCACAAGAATAACAGACTTTAAGATGTACTAGCTTCCAGTTATTAACAGGCAGCAACTTCTTGACCACTAAAGGAGATTCTACAACGGTCCTGCTTACATTTAAGTGTCCGACGCCAAATGTTGGAAAGCAGGTTACCTTTGTTTGTCTTACCAGTGAGTATCACAAACAAACGACACCACGGTTGGACACATCAAGCTGTTCCATCGCGACGCATGCAAACATTCACCGCTAGCTAGCAAGCACCGCAACGGTGTTGGTCTTTTAATCAGCACACGGACCCATTGTACATGTTATCAATACGCACTCGTCACGCCAATTCCGAGATTTCTCCTCAGCCATCTGGAACCGTAATTGTCGGTAGACATATGGATATGCTAAGATATTAGTGTAAGTTGACCACTCTCTCTAAAAGGTAACTATTAAGGTACCCGGGCCAATTGACAAGTGAACGTAAGAACAGGCGGCACATAGCCCCAGTTCCGATTTTACTATATTCGTGGTCGCTGCTGCAGTGACCGAGTCTTATCCAGACCTGTTCGATCATCCACGCACCGTAAGGTCATCAGTCGAACAATCGTAGAACCCGTGTGTTAGAGGATTCACAACAAAAGTAGTAAATAGTGCGGCTTGAACCAGATAAATCGAACCTGCTGTGTGATTTTCTCAAAAGGAATCTGTGTTGGAAGCTCGTCATAAGCTTGTCAGTTTCCGCAAGATGACATGAAAGTAGCTGGGTCCATAAAATCCTAGGATAGGTGGTCGATACCACCTGTCAGTTTCCGACATGAAACGGAACCTCAGTTAAGTGAAGCATGTACGTTTGTATGGCTTGAATCAATTTAAAGAGTGTATGCTTCATTTGTCTATCGAATAACGCTTTATGACGGCGTTCACAATGGGCTTCCTAGGAGATGATTAACCGAAAGTTCATCGCAGCAGGTTCTAAGCCAGATAGCCGTCCACGTGCCCGGAAAAGCACTAGAACTCAGTACCGGCCTGCCGGGCATCATCAGTAGTGCACTTCCATCCGACCCATTATGAATCGAGTTTAGGAACACCAGCGACTTGCATCGCCAGTCAGCAGCTTATGCCACAGCGCCAGGGGGACGTGGTCGGAGATGTATCCATTAAACTTGTATGTGGACTTCTCCTCAATCTACCTTACTCTTTCCACAACAGTAGTCTGTGATAGTAGTAGTAGTAGTAGTAGTAGTAGTAGTAGTAGTAGTAGTAGTAGTAGTAGTAGTAGTAGTAGTAGTAGTAGTAGTAATCTATTCCATTGCTCTTTAGCGGATGATTCCTACCGAGCCTATAAACTACGGTGGTTGACTAGGCCAAACTGAGCCCTTACCTCGATTTTTCCAATAATGTTTTCATTAAATGTACGTGCCTGACATGTGCAAACACTAAATGATTACTCCTATTCACAAAGGAGTTAATCGTTCCAATCCAGTCAATTGCTGTCCCATAAGCCTACTACCGGTTCTTTCAAAGGTCATAGAAGTTATTATTTCTGATGCGCTGACGGTCTGCTTGGAAGAATTAAACTACCTTGCACCGAAACAGAATGGCTGCTGACGAAATCGATCGCGCACTGCAAAGCTACTACCAGTACATTCCAGCTGGACTGAAACAGCTGATTGTGGCACAGGAGTTGATGTGGTCTTTTTCGACTTCTCAAAGGCATTTGATCAGTTAGAATATAAAATTCTGCTCTTCAAACTCCAAACCTTTGGTATTGGTGATCCACATCTAGGATGGATCAGAAGCGTTCTTCTACACCGGTGCTTGGAAGTACAAGTGGGTGAAGGGTCGTCATCCCATCCATGCTGATCGCGGTGTACCACAGGGTTCGGTACTGGGACCGCGGTTACTTTTGACGGAAATCAACGATATCGCACACACTTCATAATTTCGAACTGGCTGCTTTAGGCCGATGACATCAAGGTGTAGTGGGCCATCAATACAGCAGATGCTATCACAGTACTACAAGCTGATTTGGATAGGGTATACGCGTGGTCAATCCAGGATCTACTTCAAATCAATGTGGGCGAATGTAGAGTGCGACACTTACGACACAAGTTGGCGTACTCCTACAAAGTCGGCAACCAGTAGCTTTAAACGTCCTCTGGCTGGAAGGATCTGGGAGTTTTGGTCCAGGTCAACGTTGAATGAACCAATCAGGCGGAAACGTCGTCCAGGCGAAAAATCCAACCCGGGGGCTCCTGAAGCGTGCATGTGGACGGTTTGATTCTTCGATTTTTGCAAAAGTTCTCGGCTCATGCAAACGTCCATATGTAGAGTTGTTACAGGGCTGGCATTGCTCTGCAAAGCTCACCCGGGTTTCAGAGGCAGCAGTACACTGCACGCCCGAAAAACACCCGGGTTTCAGAGGAACCAGTCCATTGTGGGCCCGGAAAACACAGTCGCTATTCAGAGACCCAAAGTACCCAGTTCAGAGAGGAGCTCTCCCTACGGAAACTGCCGCCAAGCGTTCATACAACTGCATAGACATCAAAGGAGTTGTCCTCAGGGAGAAAACCGCCAACGTATCCCGCACAGTTTCTATTGAACTCGCCCCAGGCTCACTATCGTAGCTCCCGGACTCTCCTTAAGTTGGCCGTCTATCTGCTGCGCCGTGTTCTTGCCAATACCATAAATACTGAGCACGCTAGACAACTATGATGTGACTAACATCTCAGCAATATCGAACCCGCCCATCACCGGCCGGAGATAGGACAACAACATGGCAACTCATGTGCCAGGAAGCATACGTCCTCGCTTATATGTTATACAATTACCACTGTCTTCATTAACTATAAATATGAATGTGCAGAAAGCACGGTTGCCTTCGTTGTATCGATAAATCATTTGTACTCTTGGTCAGTCTTCTTCCTGAAGTTATGTGGCGTACACGTTCAGTCTGCTTTATCAGTCGCGAGTTTTCGTCTGCTTACTAAATCCACTAGCCTTTAAGATACGAGTCGTCTAGGCTACTCGGCGCACAGGGAACAAGGAGTGAAGAGTTCGTCCGTTCCGAGGAAAAGTCGAAACACAACCAGGACGTTTATAACAGGAGTACGCAATGCAGGTCTGGCAGCCATGGCTGAGGAGAGAGCTCACAGGCTTGGAGATACCCCAACCTCAGGCAACAAAAATGTCAAAGCTCTCTATAATTTACAGTATGAATGAAGGCTACAAGTGCTCGGGGTCTTCAGCGGACAGCATCGGCGATTGCACCGAGACGTCATTTTGACTTACTGGATTTTGAAAGTCCTTAACGATACGTGCCGGTGGTTGTTTGAGCTCAGTTAGAACAGGAATTTAGGAGACAATAATTCCAAGCTGGCGGAGCAGCACAGTCTTTTGGAATGCTGTTGGAATTGCTTTTCCGTACGCTTTTGCAGAACGTGGAATGCCGTACCGGAATCTGTCATATGTGCTCCAACGCTGGCAGGGTTCGAAACCCGAGTTGACCGCTCACTTATTTCACTGTACCATGATCTACGACTCATTACTCATGGATAAACACAAGTGTCTGTAAGAGATTTCACTAGCGGTCACAGCCTAGACTTCGTTACACCCTTGTAACCTCGTGTATGTGTGCACCAGAAAAGGACACGGTTTTTACCAGCATCACATTTGCCGTCATTCCTCATGAATTTACCTTGGATGTACAGCTTATACTAGGTATACCTCAGTGAATTCACCGATGTAAACACCATTTTGCTAACCATATTTTATACTTTGAAATTACACCATGACCATCTTACTGGCGTTGTTAAGCTTTAGTTTCTTTACGCGTACAAACCATTGTTCCATTGAACCTTTAACGTTAACTTCCTGTCTACACACCAATTTTCATCTCTAGCCATCTTCAGTATATCCGTTAAAATCAATGGACAAAAATCGCTGTTTACAGTGGAGTACTAGGGGGTTTGTACGGTAAATGTAGAAATTCGTCACGTCTAAGCTCACTCAGACAGCCACCATACACCCGGAAAAGCACTGTACGCTCGTTTCATCCTTTCGGGAATCGTCAGCAGTGCGCATTCCATCTAACCCTGTTAGGGCTCGAACCCGCAAATCGACAGTTGCCAGTCCGTGGCTGAGACCACTAAGCTACAAGGTAGTAACAGGTAAATCAGTGGATAGTGAGCTGTCCTCTATCACATCTGGAAATTTATTTACGATGATCGATGCCATCCCCCGTTTCTCAGTGGTCTCAACCACTGACTGGCAACAGTCCAGTTGTGGGTTCGAGCCCTACCAGGGACAAGTCGCTATTGAAATTTCAGAATAAATCGAAGTGGATTAAGCGGCAAATATGGTTGTGTGAAGCACCAAGGAACAGAAAATAGAAATCACAAATGAAGAGCAACCCAGGTAAGTTAAGAGAATTGAGAGTAAAATGCTTGAATTCTGCACCTACTTCTCTGTTAGGTTTTCATGTTTTTCAGCATAAAGTAGTCTGCAGATATCTGCAGTGAACTCGGACTTTCCGAAATTCTGATGAGTCAATGCCTTTATTAGTTTATGGTAATTATTACAACCGGGTACAGTAGCCGCTTAAGGCAGAAGGTCCAGGTGTAGCACATGGTTAGTGTTTTGCATTAGAGCACAGTAAGTATTGAAGAAGTAAGACAAATTAGAAATTCGGTGTGAAAATCTTTATCTGAACTATGTGTATCAAATCCAACTGTTTAGATTGTCAGGACTATGCGTGCACATTATAGATTACAAACTACGAGTAATCCGGCCATCTTTGCGTTGCACTGCCTGGCTCTTGATCCTGTCCATTGTAGCATGTTTCAGGGTAAGTATGAAGGTAACATCAATCAATGAGTACCAATTTCCTGGATGTTCTCTTTCACAGTATCTTCGTTTAATTTTTAGCCCTACTCACCAAGAGCTTTCCAAGTGGACCGATGTCAGTAATAAGTGTGTCATCCAGCAAAAGAAAATCTGCTAAGGATTCCAAAGCCCAAAAGCTTAACGACATTGAACAATACGTGGACCAATTGAAGAGTCGGCTCAAGAGCTCCGAGGATCTTCTCCCATTGACAAACCTAACACTCACCGATCTGCAAGCCAGAATACGTCACAGACACATCAGTCCATCCGACTTGCTACATGCGTTTCAGGCGAAAGCGGTTCAGCTTATGGAGAAAGGTAATTCCGGTATCTGCGAATTTGTCCGTGAGGCTGAGCGGCAGGCAAAAGAGTTGACCATCAGCGCGTCTTTCCATTCAGACTTGTATGGAATCCCAATAAGCGTCAAAGAGTTGTGTTGTATACAGGGTTACGATGCCACATTTGGCCTGCTAAGGCGCTGCGGAAAACCTGCCGAGGAAGATTGTGTTGTCGTCAAAGTGTTGAAGAAAGCAGGCGCCATCCCGTTTGTATTGACTGCCACTTCCCAAATGGCCTTGACTACTAGTGGAATAAATCCTGTCTTCGGTAACATGTGGAATCCGTACTCGGTGGATCGCGAACCCGGGGGTAGTTCCAACGGCGAGGCGGTACTCTTGGTCCAAAGGGGATCTCCGCTTGGTATCGGGACCGATTTGGCGGGTAGTATTCGCATACCGTGTGCATTTTGTGGTCTGACCGGCTTGAAGCCCACATCCAAGCGACTGAGCAATCGCGGTATAGCTGAGCTGTTCCCAAATTCGGTGGTGGGCTTGACGGTGGTTGCCGGACCAATGGGCCATCGAGTGAGCGACTTGGTCAAGGCAATGCGTTCGCTACTGCATCCGTTGATGTCCCAGCTGGATCCTGCTGTCCCGGACTTGCCTTTTAACGAGACGCTTTATAAAGGCCGCGATAAAGCGAGATTGGTCATAGGGTTCTATGAAACACTGGCGGATCCGAAGGTTGTACAAACCGTACCATCGGTCAGACGTGCTGTGCATGAGGCAGTGGAACGTTTGCGGCAACATGGACACGACATCGTTCGATTCGACCCACCGGAACCCCGCAAGGCACTCAAGCTGGGATCCAAAGCCTTGGCTGCGGTTGGAGGCAAAGCAGTACGGAAAAGTCTGTCACATGAACCTTTGAACGAATACACGAAGCCAGTGAAACAATTGCTTGAATTACCCTCGGGCTTCTTGCCATTGGCGGAATCGGTAATTCGCAAAAAAATCGGAGAACCAGCGGTTTTGACCGAGATCGCTCGGGGAGTGTCCACAGTCAGTAAACTTACCGATCTACTGCAGCAGTTACAAGACTATCGAAAACAATTTGAAGCTGCCTGGATGCGACCGCACAACATCGACGTACTTGTCTGTCCCGTATGGGCATTCCCTGCATACAAACGTGGACTCTCACCATTCTACGCTAACCCACCAGTAATCTATTGTTTTTTGTACAACATTGTTGACTACCCCGCAGGCGTGGTGCCCATGGGTAAGGTTAACCAAAATGATACTCAACAGGCCAATAAGTGGGCGGAAGATTACAAAATTAGCGGTGATTCATTCCATGAAGAAGTGATGCGGAGCCAATTGGGCACTGAAGGGTTACCACTTAGTGTGCAAGTGGTGGGTAAGCCTTTGCAGGAAGAGCTGGTGTTGCGTGTGCTGAAGGAACTAGAGTCTAGGTAGGGTGGACAACTTCACTTGATGTGCTGTATGTACATTTTTTATGTGGCAGTGGTAACATGCTGTCCAACTTCCATGTTGATATCTTTTTGTTGTTTACCAAAATGACCTCTTCATCTTTGGACCAGACCGACCGAACAATGTTCTTATGGATTTGTAAAACAAGATGTGCAAACGTGTATTTATATTTCGCCATACCTGACGATACCTGATTGTACAGGTCTTTCCGCTTTCGTTTCTGACAATGAATTCATTGATTGAATGGTGTGAAATGATATGAGCGCCTCCATCAGAAGAAATGTAGCCATTGAACATTATCGAGCTTTCTTTCAATGACATCCTGAGGAACAGTTGTGAAAATCGTTTTATCCAGTGTACAAGGCGTACTCAAATCCAACTTTGAAACACATAAAAGCACGACGGAATGCCTGACCATAGCATAAAATAGTTTGATGTAATGCACAACACAACGTAATGATGAATCACGTGAATAAAATTATTGGATCATTAATTGGCGGATTTGATGTGCTACATGCATCATGAATCGACACAAAATGAGCTGTTTTCCTCTACACGTGAGAAGGTTCGATATGAAACGCATTCCGAATGCGTTTCGTGACGGTAAATCACGCTCAGCGGCTAGTTTAGAGTCACGTGGGCTGTGCCACCATTGCGTTGCAACCGCAGAGCATGCAGAGACGGGATGACGCGCTTAGCTGCCCACTTGGTGATTAGAAGAAGGCAGCGTAGACGGCGGAGCACGTTCAAAACAATGGTTGCATTGTATTTTCATGTTAGCCATGTATTACGTTGTTACTAAAGGAAAGGGAATTTTTAAGTTTAAAACCTGTATGCCCATACTATGGCTCAAAGACATGTTTCTCGAAACAAGAATCATTTAAATTGACGCATTTTTGTTAACTAAAACTGGTTTATTTATCCTGGATGAATATAAGTACGGATTTCTGGTGGTGATGAACTCGTTGTATGCGGTTTCGGCATTCTCTTGGTTTCTGATACTGAGACGGTAGTTAAGAACAAGTAGAAAAGTTTCTGCACAACTCTATCGAATTATTAATAATCAAAAGCACTTAATTGCGCCTCGTCATCGGTAGTGTTTAATTAGTTAATCTTTTATCTTTGTTCGGTTAGGAATTCGTATTGGTGTCATTATTTCTGGGTGTAGGATGCAATTTTTACATTGTATGTGCACTGTTTCACAAAAACACAGGTTTCCAAACTAATCGTCTATACGCGTTTTGAAACACTTCACAGAGTCGACCTCTATTATTCTTTCTGGTAGTCTATTCCACAAGCTTACGATTCTTCCTTCTATACAAATTGGATGTGATACCCTGTTCATGCATTTCTCTCGGAAGAAGTTATACAGATGTTTAAAAATGCGGTAATCGGTAGGCGAGAGTTCAAGGGAGTATGGTTCTCGAGCCAAAGTTTCATAGCCCAGCTAGTGCATCTTCCGCAGGTTTGGTTGTGGGAAGTGCGACCGAGCGCTATCGTGGAAAAGTGGCTTCTTTCTGCTGATCAGTGGTGGACATTCGTTTTGTAGTTTTCGATGCATTTAGGCAACTTTTTGGAAATACTTCCCCGCTCTAACGGTTTTACCTGGATTCATAAGATCTTGATCAAACAGATCATCTGCAGACAACCAAACCGTCACCATAAACTTTTTGATGCAATTTCGGTTTTGGGGACCTCGATCCAAGTCCAGCCATTAAGCAGTGTGTCGTCGATTGTCCTAAATGATCTACCTCAAGAATGGCAAGTCTCAATCCGGTTGAGCAAATTTCTATTATTGCGCAGAACAACGGAAGACATCAATTCAGGGTGACGGGTTCTTTTGTTTTCATTCGTTTCGTGCGGTAATCAATTATCATGCTTTTTCGATATGCAACCTTCCTGTAACTATTTGAAAACCGTCACATGCGATGCTGCTAAATCTTAAACAAGACTTCAAATAGTTTTAGGTGTGTCCACTTCAACTAAGTCTCATTATTGACCGTTTTTCACTTCTGATGACGTCCACAACACTCTTCGTCTTCAAGACTCTTCTAACCATTGCACTCGTGTTTCCAGGGCCAAATGCAGTGTTTATGTCACGAGCAGTTTGTGCTACATTTTGACCAAGTTTAAATTTAAACAAGAAAATTGTGCGAATTTATTCTCTGTCCAGGTTGTATCAGATGTTTGTAACTATGTGAACACATCTTTCTGAACTAAGCATTCACTACTGTTAGCGCCAAAAACACGCTTCTAAAAATATACAACGTCAAAGTGACACGTTGAAATGTTATTTAAAATACAATGGAAAATAAAATACCAAAAAGCAACAATCGCTTTATTAACAACCTAAGAGCGTAATTAAATCTAAGTTGAAAACCATGGTATGATGACCGAATCACGTTGGTTACGGTTACCACGACATTTGGTCCGTAACGCGGCTGGATCCATTGCTGTCCTTCCTTCTAAACGCATGTTCGACAACCTTCATTGGTTTAAACTATGCGTAAAGAAGGTACTTCCACCTGATTTTCTAGGCTTTACTGTCAGGAAGCGGATTAAACTGAGGAACGTCCTAGTTAATACACCAAAGCTTCGATTGTGGATACTTCGTGTAGTTCTCTCAGCCCCGGAGGAACGCCAGGCTCTCGTGCTGTTTGCTTTTGAGCTGAAAGGTACTAATATTAGTGTTCAGCGGGACCTTCCGCTGTCCGATAGGCTGAAGCTAAAGGTGAACATCAAGAACCTCGAAAGCAGGAGAGCAGACGATGAACAAGATCGCCGGTTAGTGGGTTTTCGGGTGGTCAGCCGAGTGTCCTTTACAGCTCTACTAGTGCCCGTTCTGGTAATGCACCACCCTATCTTGCATGTATACAAACGCCCAAGGCCATCTAAGCAAGTTGGCAGAACTTAGAGAACTCCATGCCTCACAACCGCGGGGCGTCGTCATGATTCCAGAGACATGGTTAAACCCTGAGATAACCGATTCTGAGATCAATTTATCCGGTATGTCACTGCTTCGGACCGATAGAACCGGAAGGGGGGTGGTGTGATTCTTTACTATAATACAAACCTCCGATGTGAAGTTATCGACCACCCGGAAATCCGAGCTCCCGATTCGCTTTGGTGCCGCCTATGGTTGCGAAACAAGGACACATGCCTACTAGCCTTGATTTATCGCCCGGCAAACTCAACTTCGGAAATGAACTCCAAACTGTACCACATTTTCCAGTTTGCTATGAACAAGTCTTACACCCACGTTCTTATCGCGGGAGACTTTAACGTGCATGACATAGAAACGCCGGCAACCGACGGTATGCAGTTTCAAGCCTGTTTGCAAGAGCTTATTGCTAGCCACCCTCTTTACAACCACGTAACCTCTCCCACCAGATTTCGAACTGCTAACACGCCGTCGATACTGGATCTTGTGCTCACTAACGAAAAACTCATGGTTAGCGGGATAGTTACAAGCACACCACTGGGTTATAGTGATCATATTACTCTACTCTTTGACTATATTTGCTATGCGGAGTACCCTGGAAAGGAGGAGGATAAAGTGTATACTGTCATGCACTACAATGTGTTGTCTAAGCTTGTTAAGGATACATCTTGGACTTTCTTAACAGAATGCTCACCAGATGTTGCCTGGGAAACCTTTACAAGGACGTTTAGTACACTGATAGCGCACGCATCAGAGCAGAAGTCCTTCCAACATAAAAACAAGCGTAATTCATTTCTGAGGAGCAGAACACGTAAATGTATGTCCCGGAGGGATTTGGCATGGCGACATCACCAGGACTGCCCGAATGCCGAGACCTGGACTGAATACGTGACCCATCGTAACTTCTGTGTGAAACTGATCCGCGAAGACAAGGTCACTCATCAGCAGAAGTTAATGAAGCGATTCTGCACGGACCGCAACCTCCTGTACAGGCACGTTAACGGCCTTCGAAAGGTAAAGCGAGGTGTTCCAGCACTAGTCACTGCTGATGGGTGCACGCGATCAGCAATGGAAGCAGCAGATCTCCTACGGCTTCATTACTCCCAAACTTTCCAGCAGGTAACGAGCACAAACATTCTCCTCATTTCTACTACTCCACCATCTGGTTTAGAAAACATCTCCTTCACTGCGGAAGCAGTGTTGAAGAAGTTGTTATGCTTGCGTATCTACAGTTCTCCCGGAGCTGACAGCATCCGACCAAAGGCTCTACAGGCAGTAGCTAGTGATTTAGCAGCACCACTGGCTATTTTCTACCAGCGATGTCTAGAAGAGAACCATATTCCACCAGTAAGGAAGCAAGGGGTCATCACTCCTATCCATAAAGGAGGTAGCCGCACTGATCCTGCCAACTACCGTCCAATAACACTACTTCCCGCTGATGCAATACCTGGAAAGCCACACTTTAAAGCCCCAGAGCAACATGGCTTTCGTCAAAAGTATTCGTGTAATACTAACCTATTAATTGCACGTAATAGCTGGACTGAAGCTGTTGATGATGGAGTAGGAGTCGATGTCATCTACCTGCACTTCTCAAAAGCATTTGATCGCTTAAACCGTCGCATTCTCCTTCAGAAGCTTAGGAATTACGGCATTGGAGACCCAATCCTGAGTTGGATTGAAAATTTTCTACAAGAACGACGGCTAGTGGTGAGAGTCCGAGAATCATTGTCTGATGCAATCGATGTGGCGTGCGGAGTACCACAAGGCTCGGTTCTTGGACTTCGTCTATTCTTGGTGTTCATTAACGATTTGGCGAGATCGATTGCTTCCGATTTCCTATTTTTCGCTGATGATATCAAGATATGGCGAAGGATCAGAGGACCGGACGACCACGAACGGCTCCAGTGCGATCTTAACACAGTGTCGAACTGGTCACTTCAAAACGCCCTGCCGTTCAACGTAGACAAATGTCGCGTTGTCCAGTTACGCCATAGTCATAACTACACCTGTTCACTTGGGACAAACGGACTGCAGAATAGCTCCCAGGAACGTGACCTAGGTGTGATCGTACAGAGCGACCTCAACTGTTCAAAACAGGCTGAGGTTGCTGCGAAAAGAGGCAACCAGCATGTCGGCATGCTGCGAAGAGCATTCGGGAGATTTGACCCATCAAGCTTCCCAATGATGCACAATTCCTACGTGCGTCCGCATGTTGAATACGCTATACAAGCTTGGCAACCTTGGTTGAAGCTTAACCTAGAAGCGATAGAGGCACCACAACGGAGAGCAACAAAGAACCTGAAGGGCCTGCGGTATCACTCTTACCACCGAAGGCTGAAGTTGCTGGGTATTTTCA